GTTACATGCATCTGGCTGCTGTCTTGTAGAAGGCCTCCTAGGCAAAGACTTAAGGCGTAAACAGATTCTATCTGTTGACCAGCCTCGCACCCCTTCGTCATCTATAAGGCTGGCACAGATGTATTTTTAATACATTGTTTCCAGTTTAGGATGTTGAACGCTGGATCTTCTCGACTCGATTCATGTGTTTTGCTTGTGTCTCTGTTTTTATGACTAGGCAACTCATTCTATTATCTCCAAACGAGGGTACAGCTCTAAAACTCGGTTTCATGGTTCTGAGGCCGGCAGGTTTCCCGAACTCTGTGGTAGCTCTCAGAGAGGCTGATTCCATCAACAGCTGAAAAATATCAGAGTACTACCAGTGCCATGTTGCGCATGGATGGTGTCCCTGTTTGTACTTTTGGTGTGCATTGAAAAGGCCATATTGGAGCCCTTTGTTACGGCTTAGGGTTTATTAGTGGAAATGAGGCAATTGCTTGAGCTATAGAACAGTGTACTGAGTACTATCAATGTTTCGAGTCAAGTTCTTTAACAAATTTAAAAATGAATAAAGTAACAAAAACTATAAAACACAAAAAACCACATTCATCACCAAGTTCGCTAAACCTATCATTCACCAATATTCGTGGTCTTCGAAGTAACTTTTCTTCTGTTGAGTCTTATCTCTTGCAAAGTTCACCGAACCTGCTTGCTCTTTGTGAGACTAATTCGAGTTCACCTGTCTCATCTTGTGATCTTAGTGTTGATGGTTATCTTCCTTTAATTCGTAAAGACTCCAATAGTCACATGCTTGGCCAGGGTATACATTCTTAAGAATTCACCGATTTGTCAGGAAACTAGGTTTAAATCCACAGACTACTCTTTTATGTGCTTTTGTTTAGCACCACTTCACTCTACCACCTTTCTCTTTGTTTTATATCGCTTTCCCTCATCCCAAGACTGCACTCTTCTTGATGTTATTTATGATTATATTGACCAAGCCCTCATTCTTTATCCATCAGCCAATATTGTTGTTGTCGGTGACTTTAATGTTCATCACACTGAACGGCTTGGCTCTAGTGTCAGTTACTCTGCAGGCATTAACGCCCACAACTTTTGTCTTTATCAATCCCTAACTGAAATAGTCAACTTTTCAACTTGCTTTCCAGACAACCCGAATCATTTACCTTCTCTACTCGACTTATGTCTTGTTTCTGATCCTAGTCAATATTAAGTTTCTTCGCACTCACCCTTAGGTGTGTCTGATCATGGTTTGGTCTCTCTAAAACTATTATCTCATTCTACTTTACCATCAGAATCCCCCTACCATCGTACATCTTACAACTACCTTAAAGCTGACTGGGACTCTATTCATGAGTTTCTTCGTAATGGCCCCTGGGTAGAAATCTTTCGTCTCCCTGTTGACAAATGTGTTTCTTACATAACTTTGTGGATTCAGGCTGGCATGGAATCCTTTATTCCTTCTCGACGATTCCAGGTCAAGCCTCACTCTTCTCCATGGTTTTCTTCACATTGTGCTGCTGCGATTGCCAATTGAAAACATTACTTCCATATCTATCAGCAAAACAATTCTCCAGAAAACAGACGTCTCTTTATTACTGCTAGGAACCATTGTAAAAAGGGTTTGTCTATTGCCAAAACCCGCTATTCTCAGATCATGAAATCTTGTATTTCATCACAAAAATTAGGCTCTCATGACTTCTGGAGAATCTTTAATAATATCAAAAATAAGGGCAAGTCTGTAATTCCACCTCTTTTGTACTGTTCAGACTTTGTCACCTCACCTAAAGACAAAGCTGAATTGTTTGCCAAGAACTTTTTATTAATATCATCTCTTGATGCCACTAGTTGCGATTTACCTGATATACCCGTCAAACAGGTTGATCCATTGCTCGACATTCGTATCACTCCAGCTTCTGTATCTAAAGTGATTTCCCGCTTAGACTCTTCTACAGCTTGCGGCCCGGACAACATACCTGTTATAGTCTTGCAGAAGTGTTCTCCTGAGCTGTCGTCTATCTTTTCAAAACTATTCAACAAGTGCTTATCAGAGTCTTGTTTTCCAGCCTGCTGGAAAGCAGCTTCTGTTATTCCTATTTTTAAAAATTCTGGAGAACGATCTGACTCATCTAACTACCGTTCTTTAACTAACAAACACTTAATCTCTCATCTCGAATCTCATAACCTACTTTCTGATCATCATTATGGATTTCGATCTTCTCGTTTTACGGCTGATTTGCTATCAGTAATAACTGTTAGGTTTTATTGAGCATTAAATAAAGGTGAAGAGGTTAAGGTCATTGCTCTTGACATTTCTAAAGCGTTTGATAAAGTTTGGCATGCTGGTCTCCTCCAGAAGCTTTCTTCTTATGGTGTATCTGGAAACATCTTTAAGATTACTGAATCCTTTCTTTCCAATCGTAGTATAAAAGTTGTCCTTGATGGACAGAACTCTTCTTCTTATTCTGTAACCTCAGGGGTTCCCCAAAGTTCAATCCTTGGCCCTATACTCTTTTTAATTTACATTAACGATCTTCCATATATTCCCACATCTAAGGTGGCACTGTTGGCTGATTATACTACTATTTATTCTTGTCACAATAAGAAGCCAACTCCCTCTGATTGCTTGCAGGGGGCATCTGAGCTCGAAAAGGATCTTACTTCTGCTACAGCATGGGGCTCGCCGTGGCTGGTGAACTTTAATTCAGATAAAACTCAATTTTTTTTGGCCAATCGTTATCGCAATAATTTAGACCTTCCTATATTTATGAACGGTAATGTACTCGATGAGTCTCCTACCCTTCATCTTCTAGAATTAACTCCTACATCTGATCTTTCTTGGAAACCTTATATCAAATCCGTTGCAAAATTAGCATCTGCTAAAGTTTCTCTTTATCGAGCTCGTCACTTTCTTACTCTGGATTCTATTCTCTATCTCTATAAATCTCAAATCCGGCTTTGTATGGAATACTGTTGCCATATCTGAGGCGGATATTCTAATGATGCCTTTTCTCTTTTAGACAAGGTGCAAAAACGCATTGTAAACATAGTTGGACCTGTTCTTGCAGCCAACCTTCAACCTCTGTCACATCGTCGTAATGTTGCTTCTCTTTCTCTTTTCTACAAATACTATAATGGGCACTGCTCTAAAGAGCTAGCGTCTCTTGTGCCATCTACTAAAATTCATTCTCGTGTTACTCGTCATTCAATTTAGTCTCATCCTTTTTTTTGTTACTGTTCCTAAGTGCTCCAAAAACTCTTATTTGTCTAGTTTTTTCCCTCGAACATCAATTCTTTGGAACTCGCTTCCTTCATCTTGCTTTCCTGATTCATATAATTTCTAATACTTTAAGTCGTCTGTCAATCGTTATCTTGCTCTACAATCTTCATTTTTTCTCTTCCAGTAACTTCCAACACTAATTAGTGGTTGCTTGCAACCTTGTTGGAAGCAAAGATAAAAATAAAAAAAAATAAAAAAAAAAAAATTGTATCTCAGTGTCGACATTCAAAAAAATTCCTATTATCTTTATTTGACACAGGGGACTAATAAACTATAACGGCTTTTTTTTTTTTTTTTTTGATATGTTTTTTATGTAGATTTGTTTATAACGTCAGATGTCATTCTACAGTAATTTTTACGTTTTTGTAACGGTTTGTTTACGTTTTTTGTTCGTATTAAAGGCTGATGATTGCCTTTGGGCATGAAACTGTAAGTCCCGCTAATCAGTTGTTTTTATTCATCTAAATACAATTATATATATATATATATATATATATATATATATATATATATATAAATATATATATATATATATTTATATATATATATATATATATATATATATAAATATAAATATATATATATATATATATATATATATATATATATATATATATATATATATATATATATATATATATATATACATATATATATATATATATATATATATAATATATATATATATATGTATATATATTATATATATATATATATATATATATATATATATATATATATATATATATATATATATATATATATATATACATATAGTGTAGTCGAAAGAGCGTTTTAATGTAAAAAGTCTCTTACAAATACAATTTTAATTACCTCGTCTCTTAAGCTGTATTTGATGGTCGTCGAAATGTCAAAGCAATTAAATTAATGCGGAAGTACATTAAATTTTATTGTGTTTTAAAAATTTTTTAAAAAACCGCAATTATAACGACTAGAAAGTTTATTCTTTATTACTGATGTTTTTGTTTTTATTTTATAAAAAAACATTTTTAAAACATGCGTAAATGTTGCTACATCGACTATCTTATAGCCTGACTCGCAACGGAGTGCTGCTACATCGACTGACAAATAGCCTGACTCGCAATGGAGTGCTACTACATTGACTGACAAATAGCCTGACTCGCAACAGAGTGCTGCTACATCGACTGACAAATAGCCTGACTCGCAAGGGAGTGCTGCTACAACGACTGACAAATAGCCTGACTTGCAAGGGAGTGCTGCTACATCGACTGAGGGTTTGGTTTGGGCAGGCAGTCTATCATTTAAAAAAAAAAAAAAAATTAAGTTATTAAACTTTTTCTGGTCTGGTTTATTAACGCGCTCTTTAAAACTACAGTTTATGGGAAACTCTTTTCAACTACCATGCAAGAGTATGTATATATATATATATATATATATATATATATATATATATATATATATATATATATATATATATATATATATATATATATATATATATATATATATATATATATATATTTATATATTTATTCATATATATTCTTACTTAGGTTTGGTTAAAACAGAACTTTTTTAAATACCTTTTTTTTGTTTAAAATTTTTTTTTGCAAAGCAATTGCTGCTCAGCATATAACTGTGAAGTTATATAAGAGTATTTATGAGTCAAAAGGTTTCATTCTTAAACAAAAAAATTATAGCAAAAAAAAAAATTTATATAGTATGAATGATTACTTACTTAAGGTACCAACCTCCACCACTATTATCATGCCACAATCTAATAAAATCTAAATCACCAAGTGTATTCTGGGTAGTCATAATAAATACATCACAACTTGATCTTTGAAAACATTCTCTTTCGGGATTTTTTAAATGTCTTACTCCACTGTCATTTATTACACCTGTTTAGAATTTTTTTGTCAAAATTATTTCAAAAAACTGTTTTTAAAAACAAAATAAAAATAATGTTGATTAAATAAACAAAAACAAGATAATTAAGTAAAACAAGAAAACATGTAAAAAAATAAGTTATTTTTTTAATCATAATGTTATCAGATTGTAAGCAGGATATAAATGGTGCAGCCATCAAAAAAAGTTCTATAAATAACTTTTTAAGTCATACAATAAATACAATAATGTAATAAAAAAATATTCATAAAGAAATTTTTAGTTTTGAGTTATTGCTTTCTAGTTCATGAACAAAATATTTAAATACATTGTATAAAACAAATTATTTTAAGGTTTCAGTGGCAATTAGGCAATACAGAGAAGGGCTTAAAGAGTAACTTATTTAAATTGGTTGTCTCCAGAAGTGTTGTTGTAGAAAAAAGAATTTATAAGCAAGCATTCCTAAAAATTATTGCAGACAATAACTTTAAACAATTTGGGTATATTTCCTTCATAGCATTATTGTTAATGTTGCCACTTCAAAACTTTGCTGTTTTATAATATTCCACAAGGGCATTGATTTCCTATGCGCCATAGAAATCAAGCCCATCCACTGCTTCTGGTAACTTTCATAGGTCAAAACAATAAAGGTAAAAAACAAACAAACATGGCTTTAAGTCCATATCTTTTATTAAAAATGACCAATAATAACAATTGTCGATATTTATTGTAGACAGCCTTAAATGTTCTTTCGTAGGCTTGGATAGACTACTGTCACTGCGTTTTTTTTTTAAGATTTTGTCGAAACAACTTTTTGAAAAAATTAGAGAGGTGGTAGTTAATTAAATTGCTAGTTAAATTTAATTAATTTGTCAGTTAGAAATGTTAGTTAAATTGTAGAGCTGTTAGTTTAAAATAAAAAAATCTTCAAATAACCATTAATTTTGCATCATGATTCAAAATTAATGTGTCATTGATATCAACAACACATTACTTACAATATTTTTACAACAACACACTTATTTAAAAAAAAAGCTCCAAACAAGTACTCGAAAAAAAGAGCATGCTCATGTTTTTCACATCGTGAATAAAATAATTAATTTTATTCAGAAAGATGCACAAGTTTTACATTACCATCAATGCTTCAGCTGTAGAAAAAGTTTTGAAATGATGTTTTGTATTTCTGTTTTGTTTTTTTATATAAACAAGTTTAACTTTTTTTTATCAAAAATTTAAGCTTTTTTTTTATTTTTTCAGCTTCATTTAAAACTTGGGCTTCTTTCTCATCCTCTTCTATTTTATTTTTTCATCTTTTATTGCTTTAAGACATTTAAACTATATATAAAACTATACACTGAAAGAGTATTTACAAAAGAGGAAACAAATAAATCAGATTATGCCAAACATAGTTGGCATTGAACTAAATAAAGATAGATTTACAGATACAAACTTCTGCAAGTCAATAAGTTATACTTACAACTGTTCCCAAAGCTTTGCTAATACTTTCCAGATAAGAGAGAGTTAATTTCCTTTTCTTCCCTACAATTTTTATTGAAAATCTTATACAGAATTTTTGTTTAACCCCTCTCTGCAGTGACTTTGTTTGTCGAGGTTTGTGTTTTAATGTGGATGAATTGAGATAATGTTGTAAACACAATAAAGTAGAGTCCTTAACTGTATTGGTCTTCTTAGGCTCGGGTAGGTGAGTATTATTAATAAAAAAAAGAGAACTAATATAATTTGGTTTTTTTAACATTATTTTTTTCGCACAATTTACGCAGCTAAACCTTTATTAATACTATCAAAAAAAGTTTTGCAGCATAAAATGTGCAAATATTATATTAATAATTAAAAAAAAAGACCAAAGAAGTTGTATAGGTTAAATAAGTTAAGTATAAATACAAGTTTTTAAAGTTAAATATAAGTATAAATATAAGTTGCTTTTTAAACATTACTAACTTTGCACATTTAATGCCACCAAGCATTTTTTAATATTATTAAAAAATGTTTTACAACATAAAATGGTTTACTTTTTTAATAAAGTTAATTTGCTTAATCTAACATAAAACAAGAGTTGTTACTTTTATATAATATTAACCAAATAAGACAAAACATTTGTGTGTAATCATAGTTGTTTTGTTTATTAATAGTAATTCAATGAATCAATAAAGGCGCAAACATTGATTAAAAGGGAAAAAAAATGTCATGCTTCAACGTGTTTTTACATTTTTAAAAAAAACATTCAAAATATGTTATTATTCAGAAACTTTTTCTTAAATAAAGTTATTTTTATAGATCCCATTTTTTTCCATAAAACTCAAAAAAAAAAAAAATTAAAATAAAACTAAAAAATTTTAAAACGGTGTTTGTTTTTACTTACATTTGTTCTATCAAAAGTGGATAATGATATGAAAATTGAAATTTCTTATTAAATTCTAAGCAACTAATTAATTGAAATAAGTCTTGATTATTTTTATTTATTAATTATTGAGTATTTGAAATAAGTAACTTGAATTTATTTCTATATAATTTGATTTATGTTACATAACCTAAGTTACATAACTATAAGTAAAATTAATGAAAGGACTTATAAAATAAGCATGATTTGTTCAAAGTTTTTCATTGTTATATAAAAATTGCTTTATTTAAAAATTTATAATGAAAATTATTTTGACGTAGATATTTTGACATATTATTTTTTTTTATGTTATTCACAAATATAAAAATAAAAACAAATAACTGAAGTGAATTCAAAGAGGGGGGCTGCATAACGAAAAGGGCTATTTATTTTAACTATGCTTTACATAACTGCATCATTAAAGATCAATAGCCAAAGAGATCAACTTACCAACAACAGTAAAAAAAATGTTTGATTTAGTGCCAGCATTATTTCGAGTACCAGTATTTACAATTATTTGATACAAGTAAGTATCTTCATCCTTATTATCAGCAAGTGGACAAACACCAATCTAAAATTATAGTACTAATTTAAATTATTACATTTAAAAATAGTTAAACAAATACATTATAAAATACTTTATTATATTTACTGAAAAAATTGAATTCATTCAAATAATGAATTTATACAATGCCTTTAAAAAGAAACCTAAACATCTTTGTGCATAAAGAAGTAATAGAAAAAAATCCATCAACTTAGAGAAAGTAATCAAATAAAATCATTTGGAAAAAATAAATCAAAAAGAAAATTCTAAAGATATAAAATAGACAATTCAAAGATGTAAATGACTGATACTTAGTCAGAAGAATTCTTTCAATAAAGAGAACACAGAGTTCCAAAGGGTGTGCTCGAAAGCCATAAATTTGTTAAATTATTTGCAAAAAGCATGAAATTCTAAAAAAATTTTCAAAAGACACCTGTGACAATTAGAAACAATTTATCTATGTGCAGTAGCGTGCAAAAGTTTAGAAACACCAATTTTTTTTATTTTTTATGCAAAATTTTTCACAAACTTTTATAAACAAGCTAAAATTTTTACCAAATGTGCTCTATTATATTTCAAGACGAAATACAAACTACAAAAGTTGTAAAATCGGACAATTGATTAAAATGTATTTGTTTTTAAAAAAAGCGTCTATGCAAAAATTTAAAAACAACTGAATTTAATTATTTATTGCAAAAAAGCTGAAACTTTTACTAAAATTCACTAAATAACAATTTTTTAACAATAAAAAGTTTTTAATAAAACACTAAGTATTCGGTGGCATATCCATTTAACCTTAAAACAGCATCACAGCAACGAGGCATTGAATACGAATTTATAGAGAACGTCCTGAGGAATATTATAAAAACATTCTTTAATCAATGCAATCAAATGTCTTTGTTGGTTGTTTTTCTACTAACTAATTGCCCATTGCTGTACTACCGAAGATGCTCAATAGAATTTAGATCTAGGCTCTGTGAAGGCCATTAAAGAACGTTGACTTTTTTTGGTTGAAAATATTTCTTAACAGATCTGGCTTAATGCTTTGGATCGTTATCTTGTAAAATCCATTTGCAAGTCGTTTTATGTTTTGCATGTGGCAGCATAACATTCTTTATGATTTCTAAATAAACTCTCTGTTTTGCATGTGGCAGCATAACATTCTTATGATTTAATACTTTTGTATGTGATGAATGGGACCCATTGTCATGACTAAAACATAACCAAACCATAACATTTTTTCCTCTATGTTTAACAGCAACTGATGTTTTGGATTAAATCTGTTTCCTACTGGGCATCTAACATACCTAATTCCATCACTACGGAATAACATAAACTTTGATTTTTCAAAAAAAAAACTGTTGACCAGTCATAAACTGACCAACTAATATGATCTTTTGCAAATTTTATTCTGGTTTTTAAATTTCTTGCTTTAAATGCTTTAAAAATATTGCTTAGTATTTAAATTATAAAACTTTACAAATATTTTGGCAATTATTTATACTTTACTGCTTTTGAAATATCTCAAAGTAAATAAATTATTGAACTTCACAAATATTTTGGCCTTAAATTTGCTTTTGTTTACAAAAATATGATTTAATTGCAACTTTAGTTTCAGATTAAACCCAATATTTTTCAGGCAATTGTTATCGCAATATTTTAGATCTTCCTATATTTATATTTAATTACCATCATTAATACAACTATTTTTTAGAAGAAAAAAGATTTAACATTCAAACTTTGTAAAAACATAATATAAACTTAATAAAAAAATTTATTTATAAATCTGTATCTGTTTCTTTTATAGAATTTATAAAGTATTAAATATTAACTGTTAATTCACAACTTTAATTGTGAATTCAAGGATTTAACATATTTATTTTTTACCACTAAATAGCGGTACTCGCAA